TGCTAAGCCGTGAATCCAGCACTCGCGGCGGCGGTCAGAACGCTTTTCTTGAAGCGTCTTGAATGCGTAGCGAAACCCCAACCGGAAAAGGCATTCGGCGAGCAGCGTTGCAAGGCGGGACGTTTGCTGATTCAGACTTACAAGGCAGGCGTGCGATGATTAAAATCATGAACCTCGGTGAACATGTTGCGTTTCAACTGTGCCGCTGTGGTTCGGAAGCCCATCAGTTTAGCCGCGAGGCTCTGGCACGGCACCTGCGCACGCCGTGCCAGCATTTGGCTAAAGTTTTAATGAACGCTATCGCCATCACTTTCTGGTGTTTTTATGATCCAGTACTGCCACAACACAGAGTTTGGCGTAAACGCTGGCGTACACGCATAGATGCTCAACGGGATATGGTTCGTCCCGATAGTCCAGTTGGTTAGAGCGCATGCCTTCCGACCCCCCACCCGTGGCGTGGTGTGCTCGAGTCATTTTTAAGCGCTTGTTGTTTGTCCTTGCCACCTATTGCCTGCGGCCGTTGGCAGCGTCCGCAGTAAAGCTCAGGGCCGCGTTCCCCATTATTAGCATCTGTCCACAAGTTGCAACTTATGACGTCAGAGGTAAGTGCGTCACAACAGCTCTTACGGCTTGGAGATAAGTCGCTTATGTACAACGTAGTCACTTAAGTCGCCATAAGTAGCAAATTAAGTACTTCGCCAATGAGGAACGCGGCCCAGGCAATGCCAGAGCGCAGGACGGACATTGCGGACACCAAGCATTGTGGCACGTTAAAAGTTCGTCAGCAGTTTCTGCCGATGACCTGGAATGTCACGATTGGATGGTACGGGCCGTGACTCACACCACAAATGTGTCCGGAAGAAAGTCGAGTGGAAAACAAAATGGCAAGTCGATTCTGAAAATGCCGACCTAAAAAGTTTATGGACTGAAGGCTGGCAGGGATTAAAGTCGACGGGTATAAGTGAAAATGGAAAGGTCAAAAGATAAAAGCTTCAAAGGGACGAAAGCCGGCAGAAAGTCCACAAGAAGCTGGTGAGTGCCTTTCACAACACAGTCATTATCTTGAGCACTGACGATCTCAATCATCAATACAATGTTTGCATTGTACTGATCGAGTTACATTGTATTTTCAATAGATTGACAAGGTCAATGTTTACTCTATTGCGCCGTTGGTTCGTGCCTTCTGGTATGTTGAAGGTCGTGACTTGGCATGGAATCTCTGAAGTCATAATACCGAACAGCTGCTGAACAGAGGTGCAGCTTCCTGCTTAGCTGGACCCCCCCCCCCCCTCAAACTTTAGGAAAAAAGAGGGACGAAACCGAAGAGAGCTCCATTTGTCGACGTTTTACGCAAAGGCTAAGTCATTTACCCTGCTTTGCGCCATCCCTCCCCCCTTTCCCAACTGATATGACACCACACCCCTGGCCGAATAACCAGGAGCTTAAGGCATTCCTCGCTGATATCAAGCACCATAGTGTTGTCTGGAACGGGTATTTACCATGCGGGTGATTTTAGGGTTTCATAGTGCGGACGCGGATTCACTGCCAACACAGTCGTACAACAGACACCGTCTGCTGTCATGCGGCCGCCCTGCCTGCTTCACTCCCCTCCCTCTCCCTAGCATAAAACGCAGCAGGGGTGAAAGAAGTTTTTTTTTCTGTTAGCGACGAAATTTGGAACCGTTCAATTGTCACATAGAGCCCAATCTTTCAGAAGCCGTTGCAATATATCTTAAAAGTTTGCGCCATCGGGTGGAAAGGATCGGGGCTCACACAACAACACTGCTTAGCGTGAGCTCTGGTCCCAGAAATCCATCCATTTAAAGGGTTCGGATCAAATCTTTGAGAAAGAAATGCGATACTCCACAAAAAACGAAGCCAAATTCGATGCAATGCGGCATAATAATCAAGCATTTTCGCTTCGAGAATTCATTTGACTTAAGTATCATTTCCTGGCCATCAAACACTGAACGATGGTTGAGACTATGCTAATGAAATTAGATAAAGGTATACTTAACATAACCAGCCCAGAGACGCGTGGTGTCAGATTCAGTTGGGGTAGGGGTGCCTCCTAGCTAGGGATGTAGTCTCCGGTTTAGTTCATAATCGCAAAATAAGTCATGTTTATTCATAAAGTTTAAATCACAATTTTTAGGGTTTAGACCCCAAGCTTAATTTTGAGAAACTACATCCCTGCTCCCAATTCTGGAAAAGGTGTGCATCGAATTTGGGGGAAAATTGTTTTGGGGGAAAAATTGTGAATCCTGGAGTCAGTCTGTGCCGTTTAATCGGAGGCTGTTCGTATACTGTTTGATATGTGACGTGAATCTCGGCCGAAAAATATGCAAAAAACACTTATCTGTGGGGCGTTATAAAAACACTGTGCCACCCCTGATCTGTAGTGGCGGCACTGATACAGCATGGTTTGTAGTATAGTTCTGTCACCTGCTAAAAACTATCCTGATTAAAGCTACTATGTTTGGCGGTGCCTCGCGGCTCAACTTGCTCATGCAGCGAAACGTTAACGTTTCCACATGTGCACTTAACTTGTGTTCTACACTCGCTAGCGCTGCAAGTGTTAGCGAATGCAAACCAATACTAAGCCCTGAGTTTCGTCTAGCTGGGATTGTCTGTTGTGGTATGGTCTGGTCTGTTGTAATTCGTTTCCATTCTCGCAATTTTGTCACCAATTTGCTCGCAAAAGTGCTCGCTCTTATCATCGATCATGTCCGGTAAATCAGAAGTTTGTTTCACCCCTGAAGACCGGAACCGTACGCCGCTGAGCAGCCGACGAGAGCCAGATGATGGTGGAAATAGGTGAACCTTTATTTGGGCGCCGTGTCTAGACCCTCGGGTAGCAGCTCTCCACGAGGGCCACCTCGAAATTTGTCTAGTCCCTTCCTGCCACATCCGAAAGCATCATGCTCCGTCTAGTCTCGGCTGATGTCGGCTTGTTCCCTCCGGCTCCGCCCGGTTTTGTCTCCTTTTCCTGGTTCCGACGGGCCCCATCTGGTCCCGTCGGATCCCGTTCGACTCCTTTCGAGCATGTCCGGTGACGTGTTATGCTGTCTGATCGCGTCCAGTCGTGCGTGGTCCCGTCTGCTGTCGTCCGATTCAGTCCGGTCCTGTCTCATCTGATCCATCGGTCTCGTCCGGTTCCGTCCGACCCGGTCCCATCTCGTCCGTTCTCCCAGATCCCTCCTGGTGCGATCTGGTCCTTTACTGTCGGCCCATACCGTCCTATACTATACTACGGTCCTATACCGTTAGCCGACGTCCCGTCGCATTCACTCCCATATGCCTCTCCCGTGGCCGCCACTTGCCCACCTCTCATACCAGGCGTCAAATCCTGCTGACTTTTCTCCGAGCACCAGTCCTCATGACTTTTTGCGTTATCACTGTCGATGTTCAGTCGTCCAACTTATTTCGTTTCGGCTTTTTCACTGTCGCCTTTTGCCCGTATCGACTTTTAGCATTCGACTTTTTCCGAATGGAATTATAAACCTCTTGACTTTTATCCTGCTCGACGTTTTTGCTCCTGTTTCATTCGACTTTTTGTCCGGGAACCAACAACAAGCATTTCTTGGCATGAGCTGTGATTCCAGAAATCCATCTATTCAAAAGGCTCCGACTAAAAGAAAAAAAAACGTTGCGACAATCCCGCCGCTGACCGTCGCCGAACCGTAGCGGTACTCGGTTCAGCGACCCCGGGAGCAGTGCCACGAACGATCGCAGCCGCCCGACCCGCAGCGGACCAATGAACCTTCGGGGTGACCAAGAAAGGGACCAATGAACGGACCAATGAACGGTCGGGATGATGAATGAACAAACCAATGAACGGTCGGCCCGGGATCCAGCAGCCTCAGCGGCGGCCGCAACGCGCATATGTTGGACACTTGTTCTAAGCTGTTTGGATGCCTCACTTTTATGCCACAGTCACTTTGCCACAGTCACTTTTAACTTTCCCCGGATATCATAAACTTGCGAGAATCAATGACTTTGGGAGCTGTTAAAATTGCATTGGTCCCCCGAAAGTGCGAAGGATCTGTTGACGTCATCACCGCCGGCCGGTTTCAATGACCGCAATCTTCGCCGCGTTACCATGTTCAGAGGGTCCAGATGGGAATGACATGGAGGCACCATGGACACTAAAACAGTCCATCCTTGGACGGATTGTCTAAAGCTGAAGACTTCTCAGATTGTGAAAGGAAGTGATTGTTAAGCCAGGGAATCGCGAATGTCAAGTTCCTGAGATGGCCAGACGCTGATAATTTGTGCCCGCATTGTGACGAAACTCTGCAACCTATGCGCATATTTGCTTTACCACGTTATGTAAAATACTCCAAATGTACATAACAACGAAAATTTCATCTTGCTTCCATACAAACTCAATGAGAGGTTTTGCATTGTGATAGACCTCCCTGCCGGCTGGCGTCCGCGGTTTCAGATTGGCCTGCACCTGAAGGATCATCACGCCTGACAGCCTCAAGCTGACAACCTCTTGATTCCATGGAGGTCACGCTATCCCCTGACTGTGGTCCGTGAGTCTAGCTCAACGGAAGTAAGATATCGAGGAGGTGCCTGCAGTCGAACGCCGTGTCTCTCACCGCCCTGACCTGGCTGCCATTTTGCTCCCGCCGTATGAACAGATGACACGTTGAATAAGCTGAAAAAAGAAAACCCCGATACCCACCAGGCTGAGGCAAACCATATTAGCCGTGGCTCAAATCCGTCAGTGGGTCAGTAACACTGGACACCGTTCTCTGACATGCATTTCGTGACACTTGCACAGGCATCCCCACCACACAACACGGCGAGAACGCCTCCACAAACCCGCCGCCAGGGCGGCGCGCGGCGCGTTTCGTCGCAGGCGCTGATCGAAGGCGCGGCGCGGAGCCATGCGCGCCTGCGGCGGCCACCACCGTGTGGTGGCCGCCGTCGCCGCCGCCGCCCGGCCGCCACGCGCTCGCCAACGACAAGCGTGCGACGCGATCGCCGCGCCGCACTACCCTCCGGACGACGGTCTGGCGCCGACAGACCCAGCCGGACGCGGGGGCCGGTCCCGACCCGCGGCCGGCGCGCCGCGCACTGCATCCCGCGCACCGGCGGCGTCCGAGGCTGCCCAGGTCCGAGGCTCGGTACCGGCCGCCTGGCCGGCCGGCGCTAAACGTAGATCTTCTCCTCCTTGCGCTTCTTGTTCATGACCGTGCCGGGCTTGTGCTGGGCGTCCGGGTGGTTGGCCAGGTCGGCCGGGCACTGGCTGATCGGGGAGTTCACCAGCAGCTGCTTCAGGTCGTAGAACACGGCCGAGTCCTCCTGCGTGATGAAGGTCACCGCCACGCCGTTCTTGCCGGCTCGGCCTGCCCGCAGGGTACACCGGAAGGTCACGGTGCGCAAAGGTCACCGTGTACACAGGTCACAGTGTAGAGAGGTCACAGTGCACAGAGATCACGGAACATAATGGCATTGGGGGACAGGTGCCATAAGGCATAGATCGCGGTATCGAAAGGACACAACGTACAGCGGTCACGTTCGGAAAGGCCACAACTGATGATTGGGGCTTCAGGGCGCGCCGACGCCCACAAAACGGCCGAGGTCGTCTTGCGCCCGAAATGGCCTCCGTCCCAGAGATCATGGTACTACAAGTTTACGGTATAGAGGCCACGGTAAAGTGGAGTCACGGTATGAGGGCTACATCACAAGGTTACGCCATGGGGAGTGCACACCGTGGAGAGGTCGCACTACACTGCGGGCGCTATTCGTATGGTATCAGATGCTCAATTCCATTTTCAGAATCCCACAACCTTACAAAAAGCGCACACTACTCACGAACCACTGCGAACGCACTTTACCTCATTAAGGATCAACTGGATCGCTCGCTTTCAAAACAATAAGTGAATCGCAAGCAAAATCAACGCCAAACAGGATAACGTTCATGAAAAATATGCCTCCCACAACAGCGGCCAGACGCCACGACGCTTTTTGCCCCCCCCCCCCCTATTTCACCCCTCCAGCCCCATGACCACGGACCTGTGCGGCCGATCCTGTGCGTATACGACTCGATGGTCTTGGTCATGTCGTAGTTGATGACCATGGAGACGTCCTTGATGTCGATACCGCGGCCGGCCACGTCTGTCGCTACCAGGATGTCCTTGCTGCCCGCCTGCGGCGACGAGAGAACTCCAGTGACGCGGGACGGCCTCACAGCGACCGGGACAGCGCCGGGGTACCGCGCCGGCCCGTGGAGACCGACAGCTCGTGTGGCGCGGGGCCGCCGGCCAGCGCTGGTCCGCGGTGGTCAGCCAGTAGGCCCCCCGCACATGGGCAAGGGTTCGGTACAGGGAGCTCTGGACGCCTGTCTGGGTACCAACAGACTGAAATTAGCTGTGTATCTTCAGACTGAGGCTGTGGATGCTTTCAAAGCCATTGCTGCCTTTTGTGTACCAACGGACTAACATTGGCTGCGTATCTCAGACTCAGGCTATGGATGCTTTCAGAGCAATTGCTGCCTTTTGTGTATCTTCAGACTGAAACTATAGATACATGTACATGTATAGATACGTAGATACATATAGATACTGCCTGCCCTCAGGGGCTTCGACCGGCCCTTCCTGCGTGCCTTCTGACTGTTTGGATCCCATTAAGTTGACACCCCTTACGTCTTTATTTGAACACCCCCTTACATCCCAACGCTACTCTGCACACGCTGGAAATAATGATTGAGGTTTGAGGCTGTCCTATCGGATTATATGTACAAATGGTGGAAAATTGGAACCGTCGTCCCCGTACGTCGAGGCCGACGCCTCACAGCGGTTGAGAGCGACTGTCGGTCGACCAACGGCGAATGCCGCCCTTGCCTGGACACTGCCGATCGTGCCCTCAGGCTCGCCTGCTTGATCTGAGACCGGCGAGCGTGCCCTCACGCCAGCCAGTGTACAGTGACGCTGCCGAGCGCACCTTGACACTGCCGCGTGTATCTCTACACCAGTCAGCGCACCTCGACACTGCCGAGCGCACCTTGACACTGCCGAGTGTATCTCTGCGCCAGCCAGCGCACCTCGACACTGCCGAGCGCACCTTGACACTGCCGAGTGTATCTCTACACCAGTCAGCGCACCTCGACACTGCCGAGCGCACCTTGACACTGCCGAGTGTATCTCTACACCAGTCAGCGCACCTCGACACTGCCGAGCGCACCTTGACACTGCCGAGTGTATCTCTGCGCCAGCCAGCGCACCACGACACTGCCGAGTGTACTTCCACACCAGCAAGCGCACCTTGACACTGCTGAACGCACATTCACAGCAGCCAGCGTGCCTTGACACTTCCGAGCGTACCTTCACACTAGCCAGTGTATCTCGACACTATTGGGGCAGGTATCTGATACTGCCGGCGTGCCTTTACACCAGCCAGCGTACCTTGAGACTGCCGAGAGCGAACTCGCGCTGCTCCTGGCCCTTGCCGCCGTGCAGCGTGGCCGCGTTGTAGCCGAGCTTCTCGAGGCCGCGGGCCAACACATCGGCGCCCTTCTTCTGATTCACGAAGATGATGATTGGCGGGTCGATACCCTGCGGGCGAACGGACAGGTCGCGGGTCAAGCCAGGCGGGGTCAGGTCACGTCAGGTGGAGTCGGGGCAGGTCAGGTCAGGTCTGTTGCGGACGGTTGGCCGGGTGTCAAATGCGGTGCAGACAGTGGCGGGGTCCCAGAAACGAGGCGGCAGCGCAGGGCTTTAAGAAAAGTGATCCACGCAGCCGCCCAGCAAGTCACGATGAGCATACGCCACGTAGACATGCATGTCATCATCACGTGCATTTGCGCAGCTGTCTTCAGCATGCCGATCGCAGCGACCGCAGAACAATTGTCCCCAAAGCGGCCCCCCGACCGACCGAACCCCGCCGCGTGCCCACCGCCGCGGCCGGCCCACCTTCTGCAGGATGGCCATCAGCTTGGTGCGCTTCTGCGACTCGGTGACCAGGTGCACGATCTGCTCGACGCGCTCCGCCGGCTTGCTGCCGCCACCGATGTAGACGACGGCCGGCCGGCGCAGGTAGTTGCTGGAACACGGACACAGCTCGAGATGACCGGGCCGTCGGCGACGACGTCTGCCGGGCGCCGCGCAACGACTCCGTCCCGTGTCAGCTCTCCGTCTTTTCTGACCGCTCCCCGCAGCAGAGTCCGTTCCGTTTGAGCAAGCCGCGAACAGAGGCAAGGAAAGAACCTGCGTCTTTCAGGCCGCTCTCTGAGCGCCGATTACTGCGTGTGCGAGCTGCTCAGGCGAAACGTCGGACGCGTGAGGTGACTCCAGAAAAGCACGTGCATGCGACCATAAAGGATGACGTTATCGACACACAAACACGCTATTCTGTCGTTCCTGTCTACCTTTCTTTCCACGCTTCGCCCTGCCTGCATTCATCTGCCTCGCCGCCACCACGTCACCCTCCCTGGCTCCCTGCCTCCCCGACTCACCGCGCCAGCCGCTCCACAGACGGCGGCATGGTGGCCGTGAACATGACCGTCTGCCGGTACTTGTGCTTGGACTTGAAGTTCTCCATCAGGTGGTCCTCGTCCTCGGCCTCGTCCGTATCCGGCTTGGCGTTCGAGACGGGCATGTGGTCCAGGATCTTCTGCACCTGTGGCGCGGCCGATCCGGCGTCAGCTGGACGGCGTGGGGGGGGGGGGGGGGGGGCAGGGACATCGGCCGCACACCACGGCGCAGCCGGGACCGCGAACATGAGCAGGGTGCCAAGATGCCGCAGGAGGTTTCTGGACAGCGGCGTGCCGCTACGGCTACGCCGCCAGCCTCTGGACGTGGGCATGTCACCGCGTGACCGGACCAGACCAGACCCGAAGAGCGTGACCCACACCACGTGACCCCAGCATCACCTACCGTCACGAGCTGGCTCTTGGCCCAGCGGCGCAACACCTCGTCACATCCGCCGCACCACTGTGCCCTCCCTGCCACCATCGCCGCGCCTGCAGCCTGCCCGCCCCGCACCTTACGGTTCAACTTGCTCATGCAGCGAAACGTCAACGTTTCCACATGTACACTAAACTTGTGCTCTACACTCGCCGTCCACTGTGCTTTCATCGAGGGCCGTCCACTGTGCCCTCTCTGCCACCGTCGCCGCGCCTTCAGCCCGCCCCGCCCGGCCGCCGCCGCCGCCGCCCACTCGCCTCCGGCTCGAAGCCCATGTCGATCATGCGGTCGGCCTCGTCGAGCACGATGTAGACGCAGCGCGAGAGCACCAGGTAGCGGTTCTCCAGTACGTCGATCAGGCGGCCGGGGGTCGCGATGACGATCTCGCAGCCCAGCCGCAGCTTGAAGCCCTGGTCCTCGCGGCTGAGGCCGCCTGCCGACGGCCGGGGTCAAGGTCAGCCGGCAGGGTCACGACAGGTCAGCCCGCAGGGTCACGGCAGGTCAGCCGGCAGGGTCACCACAGGTCAGCCGACGGGATCACGACAGGTCAGCCGGCAGGGTCACGACAGGTCAGCGAGCGGGGTCACGCGCAGACATGCAGGCACGCGGCCAGTCTGGCGTATGTTCAGAGTGCGTGCGTTCGCGGAAGTATTCAGGCATGCGCATTCCGGCAGGCATGCAGACTTGTTCATTCACGCGGACCGTCCGATATAATTCCCGTGCGCACACGTCCAGACACGCGTGCATTTGCACAAATGTTCGGAGACATATACTTTCAGAGGCACTGGGACATACATACACGCATTCACACAGACATTCAGACTACATAACGACCGTTCCCAGACATTCGAATACGTGAGGTGGCACAAGTCTGCCCGTGTCAGTGAGTGTCAGCGCCGCCACGCGGACACCCCGACACTCAGACACCGGCCGGCCAAGTCAGCGGTGTCAGGGAGACGCCCGACACCGGGCGGCTGGAGCACAGGCGGCCCGCGGACGCGCCAGCGCCCCCCTCCCCCCCCCCCCGCTCCTAGCCATCAGCGGACATAGCTGCGGAACGGTGCCGAGCCAGTGGTGCGCCATCTAGACGGTGGCGGCGCCTCACAGTGGCCAGCCGGACAGTCAGACGGCGAGGCTGTTGGCATCCCAGCACGTCCGGTGGCGCTCTTATATAAATTCGCGCGTGGGCGACGCGTCAAAAATCCACGTAGTCACCATCCGCATGCATGACAGGCAGCAAACACAGACAGCGGTGCTCCAAGCTAAAAACAAAAACAAAAACAAAAACACACCCCCACACACACGCGCACGCGCACATGCACGCGCACGCACACACAAACACACAGAACCACACCCCGATGCCGCGACTCATCGCGCGACGTCACGCACCGATGACGTCACACCCGGGTGACGTCACGTACCGATGACGGCGACCGTGCGAATGCCGAGCGGGGAGCCGAACTTGTTGGACTCCTCCTCGATCTGCTGCGCCAGCTCGCGCGTGGGCGCCATGATGATGGCGTACGGGCCCTGGTCGGTAAGGCCAGGCCAGGTCAGAGGTCAGGCCACGTCAGGTCAGGTCAGGTCAGGTAGCAGGCGCACGGTGGCCACGGCGGCCGCATCACACGACAGGGAAAACGGAGCGGATGCGGTGACAATGACGAGTCTCACTGAGCGGCAGCGAGCATGTTACTAACGCCGCAACTGAACCATCCCAGCGATGCCAGGCTGCCAACTCACAGCACACTTACGACGCGTCGGCTCGTGGTCGTGTGTGCACATTGGGACGCCAGAGCAGCCCACTCTTGCGGCCCTCTGCGGTCCTCACTCGGAAGCTCGCCGCGGTCCGACCGAGTCCAGCCGGCCGGTCCTCACCTGGTCCTGGTCCTCGATCAGCGTCATCTTGGGCAGACTACGGATCCACACCAGCAGCGGAATGAGGAAGGCCAGCGTCTTGCCCGAGCCGGTCTCCGCCACGCCTGGCGCCAGGTCAGCGGGTCAGGCCAGGTCAGGTCAGGTCAGGCCAGCAGGCGGACCTCACACAGTCGCGCCGAGCGGGTCATCCCCGACATCTCCAGATCGGCTGCGCGCGAGCGGCCGGCCTCTCGGCACGGGTGTGCCTCACGAGACTGCCGCCGGGGGAACGTCGCCGCGGCAACAACGCACACACTAACGCCGTCGACTACGCCTTGACGTGCGGCGGCGCGAGGCGCCGCGCAGCGCGCCACAAGAGGCGGCAGCACCGCGGACACGGCTCCGACATCGCGCCAGCGCGCTGACCTATGATGTCGCGGTTCTGCATGCCGATGGGGATGGCCTGCCGCTGGATGGGCGTCGGCTCCCGATAGCCGGCCTTGTCGACGACCTCCAGAATGTCACGCGGGATGCCGCTCTCCTTCCACTTGCGGATCGGACACGGCACCTTACCGCCCTGCGGGGGAGGGGGGGGGGGGTGACGGTCAGCTCGCGCACGCCGGACGGGACCCGGAGCGGTCGGCTGTGGTCGGAGTATGGAGCATGACGATCAGAGCATGCCGTGACAAGCAAGACATGACAGACATGTCATGGCATACATGACATGGCAGACATGACATATGACAGACACAGCATGGCATGAGAAGAATAAGGGACATGATAGATGACATGACATGATGGGCATGGTATGACACACATGACATGACAGACATAACACGACAAACGTGACATGGCAGACATGACACGGCAGACGTGATATGACTGACATGACACGACAGACCTGGCATGACTGGCATGCCATAGCATGACATAACATGACAGACTTGACATGACATGCTTAACATGACATGACTGACATGACACTACTGACATGACAGACATGACATGTCACGAGCATGACAGTCAGTCAGGCGTCAGACCGCTGGGCGGCGAGCCTCGCGAGTCGTTCTCGGCCGACACACCACACATGACACCATCAGATAGACGGACTCGGCCGCCGTCTCAGACAGCCGCCGCGTCAACGGTGAGCGGGTCAGCGCACGAACATAACCCCGCGACAAACATGACACAGCGCTGACCGAGGCCGATTGGCAAAGACGCGACCGCCCTGCCGCGACGGATATCCATATCCCGCCGCAGAGTGGCCGCGACATCAAAGCCAGCAGGCGGTGACTGATCCCGTTCACCGTAGAGAAGCATCACCATGTGAGATGGCGGCGCCGTATGACTTGTGCAGCCCCCCCCCCCCCCTCCCCCTTCCCCTCCTCTGCCCGGCCCGAAGCGTGCCGCCGGCCGCTGGTTGCCGCCGGGGCCGGGGCCGGCACCTTGATGCTGATGTTGTAGTCCTCGCGGAAGATGCGCCAGTCGCGCTCCGTCATGTTCTCCACCTCCTTGTCTGACCAGTGGCGGTCGTCCCAGCGCTGCTTCTCCTCTCGCCGCTTGACCTTCTTCAGCCTGGGGCGCAGGGAACGGCGTCTGAGCCAGCTGGGAGGCACAGAGCCAGCTGGGCGGCACAACCAGCTGGGAGGCACAGAGCCAACAGGGCGGCACAAGCCAGCTGGGAGGCATAAAACTAGCAAGGCAGCATAGAGCCAGCTGGGCAGCATAAGCCAGCTGGACGGCACAAAGCCCGTGGGGCGGCACACAGCCAGCTGAAAGACACGGAGCCAGCTGGGAGGCACAGAGCCAGTGGGGCAACAAAGAGCCATCTGGGTGGCGCAGGGCTGGCTGGGGGGTGCAGCACGGCGCATGGAGAGACCATGGCGGCGCGGGGCGACAACGTAACGATGGTGCGCGCAGCTAATGAGAGGTTAGGGACACAAGGCCCTGATGGCCCTGAAGGGACACGAGGTCAGGAACACAAGGCCCTGATGTCAAAGTTCCAGTCGCATGCGTATGCGTGTAGAAATAACCATCATGCATGCACACAGAAATAACACCTCAGATGAATGTACAGGTATGCAACTGACTAACTGATTTCATGGCGCAGGAATAAACGAGGTTTGCGCTTGCAGCTATGTTTCCCACCTCTGCACCTCCTGGTCCTTCTCTGCGGCGGTTCGGCGGTTCTCCATCAGTTCGCCGTAGAATTCGGTCTGTTCCTTCTTCTGCGTCTTGATGTCGATGCCCGCGATATGACCGCGGCCGAACAGCTGGATCTGCAGGCGGAGGCCAACCAGCTGTCAGCGCGGCTCGACCTGCACCAATCGGCTGAACGGACGGGCAGACAGTAGCCAATCAAATCCCAGGACAGCTCGGCCGATCAAACCCGGCGAATGGGGAACGGGATCAGCCAAAGCCTGCGCGCACGACCGCCGGCCACAGATCAGCCAGGGCCTGCGCGCACACCCGTGACTGCAGAAGGAAGCACAAAAACAACACGCAAAAACGGCCCCACGACAGGCAGGCCGCAGAGCTCTGCCAAGGAAGCACGCCTATGGCCACCGTGCTCGGGGCAGCTACGCCAACAAGCGCGGCGCGAGCAGCGGCCCTCATCCCTCGGACACACCGCTGTCCTCGACGCCGGTGCACCCCCACGCCTCGTCCGGACGCGCCGCCAGTCCCACCTGGTGGCGCTCCTTGTACAGCTGGTTGTAGTCGGTGGACGTGTCCTCGCCGGCGTCCCAGTCAAACACGAACTTGCGGTCGTTGAGCCGGCGCACCCGCCGCTTTCGCTTCACGAGGCCCAGGTAACGCTCGCGGATGGCTTGCTCCTCGCGCTGTTTGTCCTTGCTCACCTCCCCCTGCGGGTCACGGCCGGTCAGCGGCGGGCGGCGGGCGGCGGACGGCGGACGGCGGACGGCGGACGGCGGACGGCGGACGGCCGGCGGCGCGCAACCGATGGCTCACGTTCGTGCCACACAACTGACGGCCTCGTGTTTGTCTGGCGCCACTGACCCCTGGCTCGTGTTCGTACGACACCACTGACCGCCTCGTGTTTGTGTGGCGCCACTGACCCATGGCTTGTGTTTGTGCGACGCCACTGACCCCTGGCTCGTGTTTGTAAGACACCACTGACCCATGGCTCGCGTTTGGGCGACACCACTGACCCATGGCTCGCGTTTGAGCGACACCATTGACCGCTGGCTCGTACTCGTGCGACACCACTGACCCCTGGCTCGTGTTCGAGCGACACCACTGACCCCTGGCTCGTGTTTGTGCCGGTCGCCGCGCGGGTCGGGCCGCTGCGGTCGTCGGTAGGTCTCTTGCCGCTGCTGCCGCCGCTGCTGCTCCACACTGCGCTGGCCCTCCGTCTGGAACTGCATCCGCTTCTGGCGCTCCTCATCCTGCAGGCGACGTGTCTCCGCCACCTGGCGGACGCAAAGACAGACTGCAGTGCGGGAACAAGCCGCTGATGGACGCCACGGGCCGTTGTGGACGATCGGTCGGGGTGCGCGTCCGAGCGAGTAGGTGATTATCGATGTTACTTGCAATCAAACTAACAAACCAAAATACAAGTAGTGCCACATTACGCCCATTATATATGGCAATACACCAGTACACATAGATGCGCATGTACATTACAAGCGCTGGTTTTATGCACACGTTCGCGCTATATGCGCTTTCATCTCTGCAAACGAGCACAACGTTGAGGATTACTCCCTCCCTCTCCCTCTCTCAGCGTCGCACAGAACACACGCATGGTCTAAAAACCATCCCTGTCAGACGGGTTCCAGATGCGTGCATGCCCGCGTGCACGGCGACCGTCTGTTACGACTGTCTGTTGCCGTCGCGGCCGCCGAGGATGTCCCGAGTGGCTGGCTCCGGCGATCCGGCGGGCCGGCGCCGACCACACACCTCCTCCTGACGCTTCCGCAGCGCCTCCGCCGCCCGCTCCTCCTTGGTCAGGAACTTGGGCTTGCTCTTGGCCTCCTCGTCGGCCTTCTTCTTGGCCAGCAGCTCCTCCAGCGAGAGGGGTTCTCGCTTCACGGCCGAGCTGTCGTCCGTGGCCTCGGGCGAGCTGACGACGGGGTGTCGTCGCTGTCAGCTGAGGCCGAACACCCGAACAACAGGGGCGGGGCGAGAGTGGGGCGGGGGTGGCGCGGGGGAGGGGCGGGGGAGGGGCGGTCGACACGGCTGCACGGTGAACGCCAATGGACGGCTCTCTGGGCTTGCGAGCCGGCCGATACTGCGTGTCGGTGGTGCCCAACCATAACATGCCGCTAAGCCTGTTCCAAGCCATTCGCACGTGTGACTCTGGTCTCAAGATTGTACGCGAGAAGGAACGTTGGACACAACACGCGACTGGTGTGCTTCCGATGCCACGGATGCTTTGGATTCTAGCCTTAATAACCGACACAAGCGGGGAAGGATCTTGCCCGTGACGTCGAAAGTGCCGGACGCATCCGACTGGCGCACTCACCGCTCCTTACTCCCGCGTGGGGAACGAGAGCGGCGCCGACCGCGTTCCCGGTCTCTGTCCCGGTCCCGGTCCCGATCTCGATCCCGGTCCCGGTCCCGGTCCCGGTCTCGGTCCCGATCTCGGTCTCGGTCCCGGTCGCGGTCCTGCTCTCTGCCGCGGTCCCGGCTCCTGTCGTGGTCCTGGTCCTTGCCGCGGTCCCTGTCTCGGTCCCGGTCGCGGTCCCGAAGCGGTTCCTTGTCACGGCGCTCCTTCTGGCCCGGCGAACGGCTCCGGCTCCTGTGGCGGGACAGTCAGTGACATCAGACGAGAGTGACGTCAGACGAGCGTGACGTCATGACATCTTGCTCACTGGCACTGCAGCTTTCTGGAGTCAAATATTTCAAAAACCAACATAACAGTGCTTCAGATACCATCCATTCAATGAACAGGCTGTGCATGAGATGAACAAGCTTGTTCAACAAGCAGCAGAACAAAAACAAGAGAGTGAGCAATGGTTTCCTTCTGACCTACTTTGGTTAAAGCCCTCTGGTCACAGAGATGGCATTTCAGTTATTGGGCAAGGTATGTCTTACACATTCCTGGATTGGAGATATATGTGCAAGTCAGCTATGACGCAGATTTCTGCATGAGTCAAGCGCATCTCAAACTCACAGCAGCATGCATAAGACACGTCACACAGTGTGTGCATATTTTTCTCCATTTGATGCATGTGTGACATGCGTCGAAACCCACTCACTGCATGACGTGTGCACACTTGGATTCCTTCATCCTAACACAAGCCAAGAGCTTAGACGACAAAATATTTGAATTTCAAATATGCTACGCGTTTAAAGCCCCCGACGACTCTGCCAAACATCACACTGACGACAACCAGCGTCGGCTGCTGCACGCCTGGAGCTTGATCCCCTCACGGCAACCTGATGACGGCACACGTCAGGACATGCACAACACGCCCTCATCAGCCCATCACAGCAGGGTGGCCCCAGTGGGGGGGGGGGGGGGGGGACAGTTACCTGGGCCGTTTCCGGGCCTCCCTGTCATGGTCGCGCAGCCTATCCCGCTCCCTCTCGCGGGGATCACGCACGTCGGAAGGCCCTCATCAGCCCATCACAGCAGGGCTGCCCCGGTGGGGTGGGGGGACGGTTACCTGGGCCGTTTCCGGGCCTCCCTGTCGCGGTCGCGCAGCCTGTCCCGCTCCCTGTCCCGCTCCCTCTCGCGGGGATCACGCACGTCGGACGGCATGGTGCCTCAGCACGTGGTGAGAGCCACACCTGAAATGGTCACATGGGTGACATGGTTAGAATCTGGGGTAATGAGACCACCTGCTCATAATGGCACCCTGGAATGTCAATGAATGGCCAGTGAATGCAATGCAGATCAAGTCAATGGCTGACAAAATGTGGTAACAGTGATCCCGACATTTAAAAATGGGCACCTTTTCACGGTTCTGAGATAGCCGTGCCTAAGCTGCACAGGCATAGAGGGCTGTAGCTCAGGTTCACACAAGATCCTAGTGATTGCTGAGGATAACATTACACTGCTGCTTATTCCAGGAAAGGTAAGAATGTTGCACATGTATAATTATACGCAGGCAGCTCGTAACACCAAGCATTCAAAAGCTGTGATCATGACATCTGGATCTAAATTTTTACGCATATAGATAGATAATATACCAGACCAGTTGAATAAACAGTATGGAATAGCAGTTGCCCGCTTCTATGTATGCAGTTGATTGCAGTATTCCTGGCCAAAAATTCAAAGTTCATATTTTTGTGCTCCAATACTATCAAGTCACCAAATCCAGAGAAAAGCCTTCCAATTAAAATAAATAACAGAGCCTTCATGGCATGCATAGGGAATTGGAAACAGGCTTAGCCCAGGTTATACACTGAGCTGCAGTCGATGCACCACTGTTAAAAGGACTGACCAAGCATGGACATGATAATTTCCATATCAATCCATGCACTGGCCTAGAATAAATAAAACAGTGGAAATTGTTGAGTCCTAAGACTCCTAGGAAAATGAAAATTATTGTAATGCACCATAGAATGACAGCTTGCTGAGCCCAGATGACAAGCCTGAAAAATAATAAGTCTGATTCATGGTACTAAATCAAGCTGTTGGCTACACTGGGATATAATACATCAGACTAGGCTGTGCCAGACATAGGTCACTGGAGGAAAATCTCACATGTTTTTTTGAGAGGCACCATCATCTCTCAAACAAAACAGTGCTCCCAAAACATTCAGGTGGAAACTTCTATTATTTAACAAAAATATGTATATGACATCACAAATCAAAATAACTCAGTGGTTGTCATTTAAAAGGAATGCATGCTGCTGAATATATGTACGTCAAACTTTCCATACTGAATGAAATACGTACCTGCACGAATTATTGTCAGCACCAACAGCACCAAGTCTCGTAACTGGTAATAGAAAGCCCTCAAGCGAGCAGGAAGCACGCCGTAACGCCAAAATAGCAAACTTCTCGCACAGCAGCAAGGCCCTAATTCTCAGACTTCAGTGCCACGAACTTCCAAAACAAGATTTCACCAGCGTAACCGACGTAAATGAAAGGTTCGACAACGGGAAATATCCTAATGTTTCACGACCCCCGCCAACCTAACCAACTGTACATAAACGCGTACTCGAAAAGATCACGATTGTAACTAATGCGCCAGTTACGCATGAATATCGAAAACGTTTAACCCTGCGTTTAACGCTGACCATTGAGTTGGCCAAACAAATACCGTTTCAAGGTGGCTACCTTCGACATCGCTGGCAATTATTAGGCGCGCTCATCCAAGCGCCTGACCCGGATAGCGTGCGTGTGACAGTCTCAGTGGTGCTCATTTGTGCCATCAACCAAACAGCTTGTGGTCATTATTTGCCCACACCTGTAGGACCTCTGTGGATTGCCGTAAATGTTAACAAAAAACGAAGATTGCTGTAAACTTTTGTACATTGTTGGCATGTTAAGACCACTCGAGCTGTAGTGCGATGACATTTATTACATGCCAAAATAACCAAATTGTCTTTAATTCATTGCTGCCGTTTTCGCTACCCTGTCAGCCTTTTGGCGTTCAAACTGGTATAACCAGCAGTTCACCGTATAGTGCATGTAGATGAGGACGTCTTCGTGCGACCAACCAACGGGGGTGCCTGCAATAGCTGGGTTCGCTCTATAGACAGGGCAGGTGGACGTTTCGGGGGCGACGTCTGCAATCCGTTTTGTCTGGGACCGGTGATTTCTGCTGGCAGCAGACTGGCCGATGCCCGGCCCAGGATGCTGGCCAGCCATGTGTGGTGGCCACGGAATGGTGGCAGCAGAAATGGCCGTCCGGTTTTGAACCCGGCTGGGTTCTTACATGGTACACCATGTGGTGCTCCATGTGCGTCCGCGTGTGTTTCGTATGCGGCTGTAATATGCTCTCCCTCATTTTTGTGGCCCATTGATAAAATCCTGACTGCATCTCTGTCTCGCGTTACCGTTAAAAAGAACGAACCTGCAACGTTCAAATATGCTGCGCGCTGCTCTGTGCCGTGTCGAGCCGCAGAGCCGGGACAGGAAGACGCCTGGCCTGTTCCACAAGGCTGTTGCGTTTCTGAACGACTTTCCACAGACTTCACAGCTGAACGGGCCCGAAGCCGTATGGGCTTGGACATGATCAGCTACGTTGCTGCGTCAGTCCAACGACTGGCTCACAGCCGCACAACTCGGCTTCACTTCGGCGTGGGTCTCAGCGCACAACTCAAGGGTGCTGCTGCTGCTGCACGACTTCTCAGAGAATGCACATGAAATCGGCATCTCACTGGCGTGGGTCCCAAGATGTGTAGTGAGGTCAGCGTTTGTGCTGAATGATCAGGAAGAGGCGCGACATCTGAACAGCTTCCCGACAACGTAACTCGTTGTGTGGCGTTTGAGGTTCTTCTGTCCGGTGAGCGGCTGGCCATGCGCTGCGCTGATGCGCAGCGGTGCGCTGAATGATCAGGAAGAGGCACGACATCTGAGCGGCTTCCCGACAACGTAACTCGTTGCTGTGTGGCATTTAAGGTTCTTCTGTCCGGTGAGCGGCTGGCCACAGTGTCTACACGCGATTCCCCCGGTGCTAAGCCGATTCCGGCCGTGTTAACCCGTACCAAACGGCTTGTCTTCGTGGTGATATTTTAGGTGTCAAGTATTGCGTTCTTGACCGTAACAACTGAAGCTGCAGTATTCAGAGCAGGCCACAAAAACACCTAAAACGCGTGTGTTATAGTTACAAACAGAAACATAACCTGCACCCAGTGTCCTTGAATTGCCGACTTTGGGTGTAAAGCAACACCCAATGAGGAGGAATTTTTCACTCCGTTTCCCCATATTTTATGTGAATTTTCCACTCCTGCCTGACATTGTCTAATCGCACATGCCAAACCCCTATTTCCCTTTCTGAGGTTTTCAGATGTCATCCAAAGCCGAGATCACTTGAAACCACCAAGCATAAACGAGGCTCCGCGGAACCTGGCCACCCTATGGCTATGCCCTACCTCGCCTACACTTGAATCATGCATTTGAATCATGCATGCATTTTCACGCATCCTCCTTTTTTATCTCACCACCACACCACGACAGCAGAGGCTGGTGCAAACAACAGCAAGGCCTGGTAGAGAATTTTACTCCACGTACTTCTTTTTCCCAAGGAAACTTGACTACTAAATTGCATCACTCCCGAAATGCAGGACAGAAAAGTTCAAGAAATGGCTTTTAATTTAAACTTACAAGATGAATATCACTATTTGAGCACTTATATTAACATATTTTATGTCGAATCAGTCGAATACAACATTTTGAGAGAAAAGCACCACTCTTTATATTTATTAAGCTACTTTTGTTTTTCTTGGTATCATACCAGTGTGATACCACTTTATTCTTCCTTCCTTTTCGACTGCCTCCAGAGTTGCCATCTGCTGCTTAAAATGTTGACCGATTTCTCTGCAAGAAGCTCCAACTACAAGCTTGTACGAATTACATACATAAATTGGATTCACTCGCCAGCCACCCAAACATGTTGATATGCACCCAACGTGAACAATTCACAGGGAATGAAGGAGACAATTTGAAGCACGGAACTTATTTTTACCGCCATTTTTGCCCTCTTAAACCTTCAGTTAGCCGTTTTCTTGATTCCTGGCGGTGCTCAATAAAGATAAATCCAAGCTTTTCGAGCTTCTGACTTGCTATGCTAACTGGCAAGGCCTAAAATGCCCTTGCCCAATGCCGCCTCTATATGGCAGCATTAAAATATGCTGCCATATGAAGCCTTGGGACAGACCTGACGCAGCTAATACCGTAGTGTTTGATGGCGAAATTCTGCCCTGTAGAGCTGTTTATCATGCGCTTACTTGTTTCGCGTTTCAGTCTCGAAGGTTGGTGGGCATGACTGATACTTATATTTAGAGGGTGAGTCGGATGACTTTGTCTGCCAGCAGATCATGCAAAAGGTACTGAATTTTTTGTTTTTGGGGGAGCGGGAAGAAGCAGGTAAGTCTCCTGTGGACCAAGTAATTGCTTACCTTACCTGCTTTCAACACATGATTGGTAACGAGAGTTAGCCATTTTCTGTTTTAATGCATCGAGTTTTTCCATAAGACGAATTATGATGCCTCAAGGCATGCAATTGGCTTATTTTGTTACAAATTCCTGGTTATTTGCCCCTGAGTTTTTTAAAGTGGTCCCTCATGGCTGCTTCAATCAGATATTTTCTATGGTTGTCATGGTTTGCTGACCGACAAATGACTACTGTATATATGCACTATATTTTTACACAGGGATAGCTGTGGGCTGCATAACAATTATAATATGAGTTCAATATTGTTATGTAACAAATAGCCAGACCACTCCATTTAAAATGTGAATCTAACATCTCAAACTTTGTCATTAAATATGAATAAACAAGCCCAAATGAATGCATTTGCTGCAGCTGAAAAGGCAAACAGCAATACTGGCATGGTCATCTAAAAGTTATGTTCTTTTTTGGAGAGGAGAGATTGTTTTGTGGAGCATGCCCATTTTTGCCTGTGACATAGACTAACCATGACAATCAAAATATGTTGCTCAAAGTGATTTGAAGTGGTTTAATTTGCATGTTTTCAACTTTTTCTGATGTCAACAAGTGTGCAAAAATGAACTGAATAAAAATGCAAGTTGGAACCAGCCAAAAACTAGCTTTAAATGTCATGCTTTTATCACAAGTGCCGCTGTCAACAGATAGGTGAGTTGAGATGACGTTCATCGTATGGGCTACTGTAACTTAGGTTGAGTTGGTCAAGTGCATGGCAAGTGGCAATAGGAATTGTGCAAGAATCATGAACTCACAGCTGCTGCCGTGATACAAATAGGTTATACAGGATGAGATGATGTAAGGCCTCTTTGGTTTAGACATGGCTATTTCATGGAAATAGGCATTGGCATTTGTAAGAAACAGTGACAAAATGTTTGTTTTCCTTGACCCCACCTTAACAGAGTCGAGAAGTATGTCTAATGCGTTTGACTTGGTGCTGGGCTGATGTGTAGGAGTCCAATGTTTTTTTTTGTTTGAATGTCTTATGCTTGTTGCATTTTCTGTTGTTATATTGTCATTGAATTTGCTTTGCTTTGCTTTGTTTTTTTAAGTGCTGTAGAGGGGAATTGAAAAGTGCAGCATCAATTTATTTGTGTTAATAATTTGTTATGCTCATAATACTGTCATGAAATTACTATGCTTTAACACGGCCCGGTTGGCCTGGCTAGACATCCCCTCGCTCGGGTGTGAGGGGGGGGGGGGGGTAATTTGAACCCCCCTCTGAAATCTCGGGAACTAAGAAAGCCAGAGACACCAAATTTACAGGGTGTCTTGAACCTATACGTGAACTCACTTAGGATAGGGTTCCAGCGTCCTAGGTCATGACCTTCAGGTCGAATAAGTCAAACAAAGTCAAATTTCAGGTTGGCTTTCAAAGCGCACCCAGAACCTAGGCAACTGTCTCTGAGCAAAAGGTCACGAGCCCATTTGAGGTCATTGATCTTGTTCGACCCTTTGAAGGTCATAGTGACCAAAATGATGCAAGACTGCTCTGCGTTTTCATTTGAATAAGCGACAAAGATTACGCTGGACAATATGTTCCTAAAACAAAACATTCGACCCTGGCCGTCTTAGGTCAATGGCCTGTTCTGACCTTTTTATTAGTTACTCTGACCTTAAGAAGTTAATCGAAACGTATAATGCGGTTCCTGCTGTCAATAAATCCGAAATGAGCACCAGAAACTATCCCATACAGCAACCCCTAGAGTAATAAATCAGGTTGGTTTTGACCTTGGTCTGAGCATCATACCTGACCTTAGGTCAACTTAATTTGCTCATTCCATATTTGCGGTGCCTAAGAAAGCATCTCAGATGTTTATGTTCTCGCCAGACACTCCGTTGCTGTATCAGATTGAACGATTCCCTAGAAATTGCCTTCGCTGAAACCATGGGCTGACTTTGACCTGTCATAGGTCAGCGACGTTACAAGGTACATCTAAAATTGGTATGTCAAACGATCTGCCATGCAATTTTCTACAGCTATGCAAAATGTGGCGCAGCTACGCCGCGCTG